GAATGTCTTATTTTTCATATAATTAGATGTGTTGCTTGCTTAACATACTTAAACAAAGATTGTACTCAATCAATGCAAACACCATTTTGTAATAAACTATCAGCATGTGATATTGTGTTGTTTATTTCTTGTATCTAGTCATTTAGCCATGTAGCACCTGTATTCATACTAATTTGCTTTCTATTCTGCTTATTATGTACCCTTTCCCTTTGAATCACCCGCTGTACTATGCTAACCTGCATCTGACAGGTCTGACAAATAAAAGATCAAGGGGCACCTCTGTAACAAGTTAATAATAATGCTGTATTTTAAGCTTAGAGCATCTGACATGCACTATTCCGGGGACCAAAATAACACAGCTACTGTATATATAATTTTAATATTAAACATATTCAAATGGTCTTCAGGGGGCGCTAGTCTATATGTGCAGCTGGTACCAACAGTTGCAGGGTTCTCACAGAGAAGGAGTCTTGAGACTCCCAAGCACAAAAAAGGAGGAGTTCCAGATCACATTGAATATGTTAAGCCATCTTTGCTGCACTTCTATTATGCAGTTGACAAATATGATGTATAGCAGAGTAAGGGGTTGGGGAGTCAGAGTTTGAACAGAGAAAAAGCTTATTCAGGAAAATGGTAATATGTCCCAAATGGAATATACTGTACCATAAAAGTGATTGACAAGATTTGAAATATAATTTAAAAAACATACATCATCAGACCTTACACCCCCCCCCATCCCTTAAAAAAAGAAAATATTCATTGTATGTTACAAACACATACTGGTAATGGCTCCATCCTCAACTATTAATAGTTAATTTAATTCCTAACTATATTTTAAGTGTTATTACACACATTTTAACAAAACGACATCTTCCTTTTGGCTCGATTTTTTTAATTATAAAAAGCAGCATCGCGAAAATATGTGACAATTGAAAATTTGTCTGTTTCCTGCAGAAACATTCACAATTCTACTTGTTGTTGATTTAGATGCATATAAGATCAAATATATTTTTGATTATTTTAAGATTTTACTCATCGGCTATTTTCAACAGGCATCGTAAAACAAAATTTTCACATTTGTAATTTTCGTACCCAAAAATTTTCGTACTGAAAATCAAAAAAAAAGTTTAGGGTCGGCGGTAAAAAAAATAGGGTCGGTCGGGTTCCCTGAACCAGACATATTTTTTATTTTGGCCTTAGTTTTACAAATTTTAGAGTTTTTGTACACCTAAGTTTGAAAATTTTGTCAAATATTTATCCTGATGAAGGTTCGTTAAGAACTGAAACTGGAAGATTATGAAATTACTTAACCTGCACTGATGTTGACGTGTTGTATTTCTAAATTTCTTTCTTATTTTAAAATTTTGGGGTTGTATACATATACCATGTTTCATTTTCTGTCTTTAAGTTACATAAAATAAATATGTAAAAATATTTTGCCGTCGGCCTAAAAACCAAACATTCTACAGTTTCATTTACCTGTTTAAAAGTTTTGTTGTAAATCTCATCAAATAGTGTTAATAAATTAGGATTTTAAACGGGAAACCCCACGGTAACACTAAAGTTCGTATACGAATTTTAACATGCAAATGAAGACTATAATGAGCTCGTGTATGTGCTACGTCACAGTTTTATAGTTGCTATCCGGAACACAGCAAATGTGATATTTTCTTGTGCAAACACACTTTAACCATTTAAGCTTCACGGTGCACTAAACCTGGGGTTCAGTAAAAGTAATCATCTCGTAAAAAGATTAAATTTGTATGAAAGCATCTGTTACAATGCGGAAATATACCGTTAAATGAGGACTGCCACTTATAGTCATGTTTGTTGATTTAATATTGATATACGGATGAAAACAGACATTGTACTTCCTATTTCGCCACAATGAGGTTACCCATTTTAATGCTAATAAAACTCATTTTGGTTGTCTGGACACCAAAATAAGACCTGGAGTCGATATAAAACCCAATTTGTTAATGAAATGTCGCTCTTTAGTTTTTATGAAATTTATTAAATGTAACTTTAACTTATTGGATATTGATAATTATATTTTAGGACCAAGTGATGGCAGAACTGAGGCACTATGCAACAAATGAGAAAGGTACAACAAGGCTCTTCAGAATGCTATTCAGTATAGCGGAGATTACAGGCGGCTCGTTGTTTGGTATGAGAAAATGGAACAGAGAGTCTGACGCCAGACCTGCTTGTGCAGACAAGGCAAAACTTAAGTTCTTGAAAGGTAACTAATGAACTGAATGAAAATATCATTTATGATTCTGCATATATTTCCTGCCTAATGGAGTATTAATGAATAAGAAAAGTTTGAGGGGGGGGGGGGGGGTTTTTTCATGTTGCAATGCTGTTTTGTTAAGGTTTTAATCATATCTATGCACTCAAATTTAATATAGAAATATCCAATAGTCATGTAAAAAACTAATGTAAGCTAATGTTTTCCATTATTGTAACAATTATTCATAATATTTTTTTGTTTCAGATTGTGCGCTGGAAAAGTGGCTGACAACCTAAAGAACTGAAATCCATAGGGTGATTCTGCACCTTCTCAAACGGTCCAGGAATAAAAAGATAAACTGAAGATAATAAAATGACTAATGTGTTGCTATTTTTTGAGACAATTATTTCATATGGAGACATTAAAATAGATTATTTTTAAAATTGGTTTGTTTCTCTTTTAGGGTACAGGGTGAATTTTAAGCAGTTTCCAGCTATTGCCACCCACAAGGTGGAAAATTTCTGAAAGGGTGAAAATAGGTGGCATTTAGTGGAAACTGAATTTGCCACTTTGTGGTGGAAAAATGGTGGAAAAGTGTCTAAATACTCCACCAACTTTCCACCCTTATGGTGGCAAAAGGTGGAAATAAGTGGCATTTGGTGGAAAATGAGTTTGCCACTCAATGGTGGCATAATGGTGGAAATTCGTCTAAATACTCTACCATTTTTCCACCATGATGGTGGCAATTAGTGGAAACAAGTGGCATTTGGTGGAAAATGAGTTTGCCACCCTAAGGTAGCATAATGGTGAAAGTTTGTCTAAATACTCCACCAACTTTCCACTCATTGGTGGCATTAAGTGTAAACAAGAGCTGTCGGTAGGACAGCATGCTCGACTATTCTTAGTGCTTGATAGTAAAAAAAATGCCTGATACAGTTACCTCCTCCTGTTTACAGGTTGGGGTCATGATGGTGAACAAGTGTGCAAAGTTTCAAAGCCATATGTCAATGGACTTTAAAAATATTTGAACTATTACAAAAACTTTAACGTAAATTCTAAGTCGAAAAAGGGGCATAATTCTGTCAAAATGCTTGATAGAGTTACCTCCTCCTGTTTACAGGTTGGGGTCATGATGTTGAACAAGCGTGCAAGGTTTCAAAGCATATGTCAATGGACTTTTGAAAATATTTGAACTATTACAAAAACTTTAACGTAAATTCTAAGTCGAAAAAGGGGCATAAATTCTGTCAAAATGCTTAATAGAGTTACCTCCTGCTGTCTACAGGTTGGGGTCATGATGTTGAACAAGTGTGCAAAGTTTCAAAGCCATATGTCTATGGACTTTGAAAATATTTGAACTATTACAAAAACTTTAACGTAAATTCTAAGTCGAAAAAGGGGCATAATTCTGTCAAAATACTTGATAGAGTTACCTTCTCCTGTCTACAGGTTGGGGTCATGATGGTGAACAAGTGTGCAAAGTTTCAAAGCCATATGTCAATGGACTTTGAAAATATTTGAACTATTACAAAAACTTTAACGTAAATTCTAAGTCGAAAAAGGGGCATAATTCTGTCAAAATGCTTGATAGAGTTACCTCCTCCTGTCTACAGGTTGGGGTCATGATGGTGAACAAGTGTGCAAAGTTTCAAAGCCATATGTCAATGGACTATTACAAAAACTTTAACATAAGTGGTTACGCCGACGCCGACGCTCGGGTGACTGCAATAGCTCTACTTATTCTTATCGAATAGTCGAGCTAAAAAGGTGGAATTAACTGGAAAATTATATACCATCAGTCCTGCTCAAATTTTTCACCATTTTCATGATTTGGGTAGCGTTTTTGTGGCATTTTGGTGGCATTATTGGTGGAAAATTGTCTTAATACTCCACCATTGAAAAGGGTGGCATTTAAGAGGCAAATCTAGGGACGGGAACTTTGTTTACTCCACGTGCCAAAATACTGGATCATCTGGAAAATAACGGGATGTACCGACAAAGCGACACCTGCTGTCATAATATGAACACAAATTATTGCAACTCGCATTATGCTTACTGCCAACTGCTTAGTGCGTACTGTCACATGCGACTATAATATCGCTATCGTTGTCATCTTCGTTGTCGATGCGCAGTGATCATATTTATTATATATATTGCATTATATTTGTAATCAGTGAATATATTGAAGCATATGAATGCTAAGACACATCAAATCAGTCAATTATTGATCAAAATGAATTGTTTAATTTGACATAATGTCGACAATATAAGTGGCAGATTTATAGCAAATTAAAGATACAACTACCATGTTACATATAGTTATAAAGGATTTTATCTTAAACACCAAACATAATACGTTGTCCTTAAAAAAAGATGCAATTAAACATAGAGCATATTAAAATATGTGAGTTTGATGGTTTAGTAGGGAACACACAAGGTTGCAATTACATGGAAGTGCATTCAGTAATTATAAGGCATGATTGAATTCAGCAAAACGCAGGTTTTCATTGTCATAAAGAAGTATAGAAGCAAGCATAATGTAAGTTCCGATATCATAAAGCAAGATGGAATAAATGCATTAATTCTGTTCCATAGACGTATTATAAACCTTTAAAAGCAATCAATAATTGACACCTCAAGCATGTAATTCTAATCAGAATGAGCGTTCTAATGAGAGCCTCTTTAGAACGCAGTGTTGAGACATTGGACCCCAACATGAGCGATATAATGAGGCTGTAGTGTAAAAGACATTTTATTAATGATTTACCTTTACAAACAGGTTGTTTTTTTTGTAGACATCGCATGCAATGTGGCTATGAAAATACTGGTTATTCATCAATAGGTGTATTAACCCAGTACAATCAGTTTCACTAGCAGATTGCTTCTGCTCGTACCCTGGAGCATTTATAAAACACTGACAAATGCTCCAAGGGTCTGTGCACCACTGTTGAGCATCGCTGTTTTTCCAGTTCGGTGAAGGTGGTGAAGATGCATGATTTTGCACAATAAAGTCATAGATGGCGCCACATATGTTGTTCGGACAAGCAGTTTTACCCTTAAAGCAACAGCTGCATCTTACTTGCCCATGAGGACAAACTTTGTTTCCAGCATTCCCAGGAACTGGCTTATGGTCTGGCTTGAGAGTATCAATTTGACAGCTGCCACACGTCGCAGTTGATGGTAGTGATTTTGTAGACCGAATGTTTTGTAAGATATCCTTATGTTGTTGATCAGCTATGTCATTACAGAATGGTACCAGTCCCTCCTTTAAATATCCAAGTCCTAAACCAGCCTTTACCCACTGTCTGTAGTTTTTCCTCTCTAACTGAAGTTGATGTGCCATACTGATAAACTACCAATATCTAAACAAACAAACAAACAATTTTGTTAAAATTTTATATAAATAGTTTAGAGTTAAGAGTTTTGTAACCATCTGAATGAAGCACGGACGGACGACAGACACCAGACAAATTGTGATTACAAATTAGCTCACCTTTAATAATTTGTGCATAGGTGAAAAAACAATCAATGATATACAGTAGACTTGCTGAAATAAAAATCACACAAAGACATTTAATCAATTTATTTTGACAAAGTTCAAAAGACCTGGCAGACCTTTTACCTCATCAAAGAGGCATGTCGACAATCATCAGTGGTCATTATCATTGCAGGAAATTTTGTTGTTTTTTTTCTCCGTTTGACAGAAGATCTGAGTAAAATAAAAATCTGTGTTTAACCACTTGGCATTTCACTTATTACTGCAAGACTTTTCTACATAAGCAAATGTTTGTAGCAATTTATTTTTGTATCATTTGTGGCAGGGGGGGGGGTGTTCAATTGGGGAAAATCATTTAAATCATTTACATCTATATGAGTGTCTTATTGTTTATAAAACCTTATTTCAAAGTGTTTTCAATAGTCCTGTAAAACTCCCCTACATTTGCTTTTCACTCACAATTGGCCCGCATGCTCCTCGCCCATCAAAATAACAAGTCATAATATTTTGCTGACATTGGCAATACAGTTAAACTTCGTTCGCTCGAACTCGGATCGCTCGAATACCTCCCTTCGCTCGAACTCATCGCCCGGTCCCGGCAAAATTCCTATATGATATATATTGTTCTACCTCGGATCGCTCGAACACCGATCGCTCGAACTCTCGAACCTGATCTCTGGTCCCTTCGACAGAAATATAGTGAAAATCACACCTTTTCGGTCGAACACAAAAAGACAACAAAAGCTACGGGTCGACATGTTCTAAAGTGTCAGCCGGCGTCGCATGTTTTTAACACCTCGTGATCGTAATAAAGGCAATTTAAGGTTAATTGATACAAAGTTAGAGGTGTTGTAACCGATTTGTTTGTTATGATAATATTGTTTATTTGCCGTCTTTAGTAACAATAAAAAGAAAATAACTCGTGAAATAAGTCAATAAATAGATGATGTTTACCTGGACGGCTTTAATTACAGCCGTGGTGCATGTAACGTGAATTGTAACAAAGTTATCTATAGAATGATACTTTTTAGTAAATGACAAAAAAACATGCTGCTGTAAAATTTTGCTTTACTTTTTAAATAGTTTATTAATCCATTGTTTAAAATTAAATTTATCCCATAATAAACAGATAAATATATTTTGAACAAGTTAGGTAAATGATTGCCCAATCGAACTCAACCAATTACAATATGCATGAATATAGATTAACACAGTGTACCGTTAATACTCATTTGAAAACACTGTGATAATAATTCCTAATATTTAAAAGAAATGACGTATTCGACGAACTGATGTACTAACAAACAATTATATTGCCGTATTTATCATTCGACAGATGTAAGCTGGAAAACGTTTATGCCTATGTTCTACGTGATAATAGTTCAACCTCGGTTGGCTCGAACTACCGATCTCTCGAACAAATTTGCACAGGCCCTCCGAGTTCGAGCGAACGAAGTTCGACTGTATATTATTATGTAATGCTTTGATCTAAAATATCAGGGGTTGTAATTATTGACCTTTTTGAAAACCTGGCTAAACATCGTTTTCCGGTACATTATAGATTAAGCTCTTAAATAGGAATAACACCAACGTGAGTTCTTAATACAATTTCATGATATTTCTATTTTTCTATCATTGTTTTACCGTTCAAGGTGAAAAAATTGACTTGTTTTAAATTATCAGTATTCTTTCAATATCAATTGCAAATTTTTCAAAAAATAAAATGTTTATAATGAATATCAATAAAATTAAATCAGTCGTACGTACAGTAGTGGCATCTTCCATAATAGAGATATTTTTTGCGTAAACTTGTGTATTTACTTTTTTTTTGTATGGAATTTTTCATATTATGATATTTAATTATTTTCTTACAAATTAAGAAATAATTGTTTTATTTCCCTTTAATTTAACAAGACAGCAATCAGTAATCACATGTGTGGCCTCATGATGGCCAATTTCATGTTGGGACAAATTTTGTGACAGACGGACAGTGCACAACTAGACTTGGTACTGATCATTCCTGTAGTTTGGATAAAATTGCACCAGTAGTTTATGAGGAGTTGTCCGGACAAGCTTTTGCGTATCTGGCAACACACAGAAAAAAACATCTTTTTATCAAAGGGCCATAACTCGGCCAAAAATCATTCAACCAGAAAACCCGTGCAATATGCGCAAGGATATGAGCTACAGATCAATCTTGTAAAGTTTCATTGAAATTGCATTAGTGGTATAAGAGAAGTAGTCCGGACAAACTTTAAAAATAAAAATTATTAAAGGGCCATAACTCTGACAAAAATCATTGAACCGGGAAATGCTAACAATATGCACAACTAGACTTGGTACTGATCATTCCTGTAAAGTTTGGATGAAATTGCATGAGTAGTTTATGAGGAGTAGTCCGGACAAGCTTTTGCGTATCTGGCAACACACAGAAAAAAACACCTTTTTATCAAAGGGCCATAACTCGGCAAAAAATCATTCAACCGGAAAACCCGTGCAATATGCGCAAGGACTTGAGCTACAGATCAATCCTGTAAAGTTTAATTGAAATTGCATTAGTGGTACAGAGATCTGCCGAGGACGCGACTTTGCGCCATTGGCGCTAAAAAAATGAGAATGGCGCAGGAAAATCGGAAGCAAAGGGGCATGGGCGCATCTAAAATCTGTGCCAGACTTATGAGAAAACAAAACTGTCTGCTGGGTTATTTTACTTATTTAGTCATCCAGTCAAAACTGGTACCAACAGCAACATGTTACCCATGGTCCTGTAATTACGCATATTCTTGAGTTTATCCATTCCCCTATAGCTTTTGTCCATGTGATCTACTTACCGCATTTCTTCTCATAATCCCTTTCCCACACAGATACTCATTTCTACTACCGTAAATTTAATCCAATGAAACAAACAAACAAATTATACAACTACTTAATATTTAAAATGATTATCAGTAACTGAAATAAAAGTGTTGCTATTTTAAGAAATGCTGTAAGTTACAGTATAATCTGACAGGTGTTCAACTTGATCAACCCTAAGGTCACTCAAGTTCACGCAAGTTTGGGCTGATGAAGTGTAAAAAAAGATGTATATTTCGTCATCAGAATATTTGACAGGGTGATTAACCAATCAGAGAAACATTGTGCATGACTTTTTTCATGATCAAAAGGTCTTTCGGCAAATGTCTTTGAGGTATGCTGTCTTCACAGAGGCATACAAGAGGCAATAAAATTCGTAAATATACAGTGGTAAGGGACATTTGGTGCAAAGTATGAACAATTAAATGGATAATGCACAATATAAGACATTACAAGTAAGAACCAACAATTATGTGAATAAATTTGCATATCAAATTTTTGAGCAGCCATTTAAAAAATATTTTGCCTGCAATTAATATTAGTTAGAAAGTTACCATGTAGGCATAATTTTTAATTATCTACAAACTTTTTAACAGTTATTTTGGTCAATGTTTACTTATTTTCCCAAGGCCCATACTTTGGTAAAAATGGCCCATCATTTTCAGACCAAGTGGGCCCAGGGCCCAGTACTTTCAAATTCTTGGCAGATCTCTGGTGGTATAAGAGAAGTAGTCCGTACAAACTTTAAAATTAAAAATTATCAAAGGGCCATAACTCTGACAAAAATCATTGAACCGGAAAATGCTGACAATATGCACAACTAGACTTGGTACTGATCATTCCTGTAAAGTTTGGATGAAATTGCACCAGTAGTTTATGAGGAGTAGTCCGGACAAGTTTTGTGACGGACGGACGGACAGACAGACGACGGAGAAGTGATCCCTATATGTCGCCACTAACTCCTTAGAGGCGACACAAAAAAGGATAAAAACATAGAATTTGTAAATATTCCACTTCATTTGATGAAATTCCCCAGAGGTATGTACAGAAAGTACCGGAAAACGTAGTTTAGCCTATGGTTTTCAGTATAATTTTGTATTGTGTATACCAGGTTTGTTGAAATTGATTTTCCATGCATACATTGTGTTTGTGTATAATTGAATGATATTTTAATTGAGTTGTCAATAACATTGCTTATTTATCACACACCCATGCCAATTTTGCAACTCCGTGAATATGGTATTGCATGGCCGTGCATATATTTTGACGTGACGTCATAAGCGTTACACAAACATAGTGTAAAGACGCGCTAAATGTGAGCGTTATACTATAGGCGCTTTAATGAAAATAGACTCTTATTTCACTTTCAATGGTCTTTATTTTTGGTATGTGATAAATAGAATATTAAATTCGTGTAAGTTCAATACTGAATTTATTGCACTCGTTGAATAAAATAATATTATGCTCGCCAGAGGCTCGCATAATATAATTTTATTCAACTCGTGCAATAAATTTAGTATTGAACTTACACTCATTCAATATCCTCTATTTATTGTATAGAGGGGTATATATATTTACCTTTATTTTCTAATTATTTGCTCATATTTTTCAATTATTGATAGAATGTCAAGCTCCCGTGAATAAACATAGGGGGCAGCATGAAATATCCAAATATACCCAAATACACACAAATATTGCAAAAATATACCCAAATATTGCAAAAATTTACCCAAATATTGCCCAAATATACGTAAGATACATGTTTTATACTAAAAAGTGCTGTCTTAATTATGAATTACAATATACATTTTCACTAAAATTGATAGAACATAGTATATTACCCAAATATAAATTTTCGTATCATTGTGTTTTGAAGCAAAATATACACATTAATACAGTATGTATACTCCATTAAAGCTATATATATATATATATATATATATATATATATATATATATATATATATATATATTTTTTTTTTTTTTTTTAGATAATATGATGGATGAAAAATCAACAAAATTATACCCTAAAAATAAAATGTAGACAACAAAAATTATCATATCTTTATCTTAAATTGCAAGCATAAAAATTAATCTGCTTCGGCGAAGACATTTTGAAAACTCTGGTCACGTGATAAAGCCGATGTATCGAAACCTTTTATTCTATATTGCCTTGGGCAAGAACCAATGAAAGGTCTCGATACACCGGCTTTATCAATTGACCAGAGCTTCCAAAATGTCTTCGCCAAAGCATATTTCTGCACTGATTTGAAGAATCCTTCGAAACAGACGAATGTTAAGAGCGCTTCACAACTATTTGTGCAGGTAGGTAATAGAAACTATGTTGTGTTATTGTTCGCATGCGTTTATTTGTACCTCCCCCTTTTTAAATTTATGTTTTACTGTATTACGCTATAGCAAAAGGGGATTCCTCTCGTTGGTTAAGTAACAATATGTAGTAAGTAAGACACCCAAAGGTAAGATTTAGCACGTTATGCTTTATTCAAGAGATTTTTGTATGATTTCACTAATGCAATTTTGACCCTCACTTTACGTTCCATGTTTTCCTTGCAAAAATGGACTGGAAAATACCTCATCCTGTCTGTTGACCTCATTTCCTTATTCTCAGGTCACATGGCAGTAAAATTACCCTATAGTGTTGTTTTTTGGCGCATTTTTTCACCCTAAAGCAACCTGTATGTGTTTTTTTACGGTTATTAATCATGAATGAATGTTAATTGAAAATTAATTGGATATATTTATCTTATTTGAATGGAATGAATTTCCATATTTTAATTAGTTGCTGCAATATATGTATTATTTTGTTTTTGCAGGTTCGACAAAGAGAGTAAAGGTGCTATTTTCCAACCTATATTTTTTCAGCAGTGGAGGTCAAACAGACTAGGGCAACCATCCAAACCACTGTAAAATACAACAATAGCATTTTACCGCATATAATTATGCTTTATTTATGAAAGAAATAAAGAATAGATAAACTAGTTTTCACTGGTTGATACTTTGCAGGTCTATGCTCTTGATATTGGTGAACAACGTAAGTAAAAGTATTATGGTGTACAGTCTCCTGTATACTGTGCTCCTCTTAGGTCACGGTACTTAACACTTTAAAACAGTAAAGAACACAAACAATAAACTCACACTACAAAAATTGTCATAAACTGTATCATTAGTCATTTTTCTGCTATATGACACAAGGAAGCAACAATATATTCAATCTAAATTAGTTTTAATTTGTCAGATGTAGACCGTGTGTCGGCCATTTTGAAACTAGAGGATGCTTTTGTAAAAAAGCGCATGTCTCCCCCACTGCTGAGAATAACTGTGAATGGAAACAGGAATGGAACTGGAGAAATCCGGAAATGAGAAAATGACCAATGGTCACTGTGACCTTAACCTTTGACCTACTGACCCCATAAACAAGAGGGATCATCTGCTCAATAAGACCAATCATCCTATGAAGTTTGAGGGTTGTAGGTCTAAAGGAACTCTAGTTATCATCCGGAAAGGAGAAATTAACCAACGGTCGCTGTGACCTTGACCTTTGACCTACTGACCATTAAAACAATAGGGATCATTTGATTAATAAGACCAATCATCCTATGAAGTTTGAGGGTTGTAGGTCAAAAGGAACTCTAGTTATCATCCGGAAATGAGAAATTGACCAACGGTCACTGTGACCTTGACCTTTGACCTACTGACCCCAAAAACAATAGGGATCATCTGCTCTATAAGACCAATCATCCTATGAAGTTTGAGGGCTGTAGGTCAAAAGGAACTCTAGTTATCATCCGGAAACGAGAAATTGACCAACGGTCACTGTGACCTTGACCTTTGAACTACTGACCCCAAAAACAATAGGGATCATCTGCTCAATAAGACCAATCATCCTATGAAGTTTGAGGTCTGTAGGTCTAAAGGAACTCTAGTTATCATCCGGAAACGAGAAATTGACCAACGGTCAGTGTGACCTTGACCTTTGACCTACTGACCCCAAAAACAATAGGGATCATCAGCTCTATAAGACCAATCATCCTATGAAGTTTGAGGGCTGTAGGTCAAAAGGAACTCTAGTTATCGTCCGGAAACGAAGAATGGACGGACTGACGGACTGACGGACGGACTGACGGACTGATGGACGGACAGGGCAAAAACAATATGTCTCCCCCCGAGGTGGGGGAGACATAAATAGTATGTCATCATTTAACTCGCGGTAATGGTGTTTTATTTCAGTTTTTTCATGTTTCAGTTATAATTTCTTTATGTTATTTTGCATAATTTTAAATATTAAAATAATCTTTACATTGTAACTAAAAATTTATTTTTTTAACAAACAAGAACATTTAGAAAATGATGATTGTTTCAGACGTATGCACAAATTTAATGGACTATTGTTGTTTTTTGCAGAAGTTTGTAAAATGTTGCTCAGTTTTACGTAAAAATCTATAGATTTAAATTATTTTGCACAAAAACTTTGTTGTTAAGGTGTTTGAATAAAATATGTCAATTCTGACCAATTTTAACACTGGCCACATGAAAATATGCCATTAACGCGAGGTAAGTGATGACGCGGAATTAGTGATGTTGAGTATAGTGTGTAATTAAAACCAATCAATGGCACACTCAATAAAAATGGCCGCTTATGGATGAAGTCAAAGTAGGATTGTTCATGAAAAGGAATAGCTGGAAAAACAGCTTAAATTTACCCATTTCATGAAGGTTAGAGATTTTTTAAAAACTTACAACATTTTATACAATACAATCACATGGTTTTTATAGACGCATCCAAAACAATCCTTAAGGGCGTCGAAACTGGTCACTCGTGGATAGGGGTGATTGCCATATCTACTTTCGTTTTCGGTACACACTCATTTTGATAATCCTACCCACACACAATAGGACTGGCCGTTTTACAATCATCAATTAATATAAGGAATTCATTTGAAGAAGAGCTTTACAATAGTCTGATTAATGCTTGTTGCATTTTAAAACGCGGAAATACCCCAAAATTTATTTTACTTCCTAGTTTCGTTTTCAATTGAAAAAACTTTGGTAATTTACCTGGCCGAGTTACTTATTTTTGTTTATAATGTTATCATTTCATCTAAGTACGAAATAATTTACTTATTGGTTTAAAAATTCACAAGGTACTTACTGCAATTTCTTCAAATTTTGAGAAAATATTACCCAGGACTTTTTTCCGCCATACTGATATTCCTCCAAATTTATAGCGCATGCGTACTGAAAACTAATTTACGGACAGGACGGTCCGGGAGACAGGGCGGACTGTATTTTTGTTGTTGTTTTTTCTTCTTCTTTTTTGTTGTAATAGTATTATAAAAATATGTACACATATTAAAATAAATGTAGAATAAATTTGTTTAGTGAAATTATAATTCTACTAACTGCATCGTGTTGGACCAATTATTTGGACATTACATTAAATAATATATTTATCCTGTCACTTGTATCAATTTCGGTCCGATAACAAGGTGCCGTATATTTTTACTGATCTACGGCACTTGATCACGTGGTATGCATGTTTGCCGGACTACTTTTCAAGAAAAAATATAAAAACTGTCGTTAAATCTTCTGTGTGTAGAATAACGAATTTTGGAAACGTTGATAAAACTTTGTTTGTTTATTTTATTTCACTCTATTTCACTCAAGCGAAATAAAAATTATTAAAAGTGAAATAAATGTAAAACTTAACTCGTTTGCGATATTAAAATAGCGTACTCGATTTGATTGTTTTGCACGTGCTGTTTGGCGCTACATTGTGACGTCACGTAAACAAAACTTTAAACGTCTGTACAGCGTTAACGACTGAATAAAAGATATTGGTGTTCGAATTCATTTTCTTAGTTAGACCATTTTCTTTCATTCTAGATAGTTTTCACAACAAAATTCGACAAAAAATTGTTTTTATTTATCACATTTTCAAACAAAATGGCGCTCTCAATGTGAAAATACACAGGGAGATAATAAGAACGGCGAGTGCATTGTTGTAGAATAATTAGGGCCTTCTTTGTTTATATAGAAACATTTAAGATAGTGTGATTAAAGGTAGTTTGCCAAATAAATTTCTTTAAAAAAAAACGGTGACAGGATAAAAAGAATAATAGATTGGTGCCGTGGATGGAGAAAGTTTATCTGGCTCTGCTCCGGATTTTATTGGGTTCGCCTTCGGCTCACCCAATAAATTCCTCCGCCTCGCCAGATAAACTTTCTCCATCCACGGCACCAACCTATTATTCTCTATATATAAGAGGGTAAAACTTATAAAACAATACGATATATAGAAAAGGCTTGCTATTCACGTGTGACATTTGAAACACAATAGAACACAATAGCGTAAAATGATGATGAGTGACTTTACAAAAATGGACACAAAAGGTAGACAAAATTTGCATCGTACACAGAAAAGATGACTTATTTATTATTTTATATGATGACAAAGTCAGACAAACATATAAACATGTACAAAACTTTAAAAAACGCATGTAAAAATTATCGATATTAACATTTTAACATATATTAATTTATACGCATATAATATAACACAATTACGCAGGGCAATTAAGGCTTGCGCAGTTAGATCAAGGATTTTTTGGTAGAAAGTGTCATGTTGAAATATTCTATCCATATATAATATTATCAATTTTGACTGCATGCTCCTGGTTGACCTCTCCCCAATTTCGACCAGTTAGTTTGTATTAGAAATGTATTTTGTGCTTTGTCTAAAAGATATGCTATGCTCAAATTTGATATTTGAAATCATTGATAATTGCTTAACAGTCTCTTTGTAAATATAAAATAAAAATAATTTGACTCGCACAAAGCAGATATTTTATGCTTTAAATCATACACAATATAAATGGACACACTATGATATATAATGTCATTAAAAAATCCCAGCTTTACTTGACCCGCAGTAGGAAACATAGATTCCTATACATGTAGTTTGTACGCTATTTAATTCAAATAAGACATACATATTCCAGTAAGAATTTTATAGATTTCAATACATTTCAGCAATTAAAGATAATTCACACAAAGATGAGCATGATATATATTTAATAATTAAGATGCTGTCAGCTTAGTGAATTGATACACATATGTATTCATTGTATATTAACTAGTTTTTGGTTTTCCTATAGTAACGAATTAACTATAATTTTAATAATAAATAATTATTCCTCTATACAGCTTAAATGTTATGAATGGTATAATTATATAAAAATATTATAGTTAAGTTTATCAACATCAGCGCAGAAGGAAAATATGCTTTATTTATGAGCTTTTTTTTAATCCTTCCTCACTATATCAATGACAATGACAATGACAATTTATTTATTGATATTGGCCACCGGCCCATTACAACAATATATACATTTACATATAATTTCTTGACTGGTGTCAGTACAGATCAATGTAATTCCTAATAATGTTTATATTGAAACACACAGAACTATTGTTGAATAATTTACCAAAATGCGTGTCGATCTTAACGAAAAACAAAACATAAGATCTTCACTTATGGCTATTCATTGCAAAATAAGGAAAACATACTATAGCCTTAACATAAAAGGCAATAGTGTTTTGATCAGTCTTAAGCTTTGTACAACATTGCCCGAAATGAAAAGTAAATCCATATATCTCATCACTGTACAAACGTATTCAAAATTGAAAACAACAAACTAAACAATACCTAAAAGTAACATTCATGATATTATAAGCATATTCTCAAATATTTTATAATAATAATTTCAAATTTAAGTATCTGTGTTATAACATAGAAAATGATTCCAAGAATGTGATCTCAACAATATAGTAAGTATATCCTAATGATTTCACTATATCTTACGCTAGCTGTTTTATACGTAAACTTGCATGGGTAAATGTTAATAATAATAATAAATGTAAAGTTATTATATGAATAAGGCAAAGCCTCGAAACGAAGTCTTTGGCAGAAATTATAGTACATACACATTAATATAAGTCATTTCATGTTTTCAGAACAGTTTGGATTGCACACGTTTGGCCGCACTTAACACAACCACACACTATATACGGCCATTTCATGTTTTATATAATTCTTAAATTGAATCCACCCATCAGAGAACAGAGATTAGAACCATAACAGGACAGGAAACCAAAAATCGATATTTTATGCACTAATTCCTTTTATCCTGGTTCCCTCTCCTATTATGGCTCCCATAGAAGTGCAAAGGAGACCAGTCTATATACGCATCCGTTTTAAATTAGAATTTTTCGGCTTTTATTCGAAAAGTTGCAATTGGTCTATTTCCCATAATTTTGCAATACTTCCGGCAAAAGTTTTCAAAAGCAGGTACTCGCGTTACCGTAAGGCTCGCTTTGGGAGCAGGCCTTCGGGTTTTCATATCTTCTCATTCTCAGGCCTTCGGGTGCCGTATGTCGTGCGCACATGATAAATGTATACATGTTTAACTAGCTAGATGTTTAAATTTCTAAACATGAATCTGTTCAATATGAAAATGCTTAAATATACATGTTTTTAGGATGACATTGATATCAAGATATCAATAAATAAATAAATAAAAAAGCAATATTAAATTTGAAACCAAGCTCGGTCCGCCTCGTCTCCAGTCATGCTTCGCACTGTCCAAAAAATATGGTCCACCCTGTCCAAACATAAGGTCCACCCTAGTTCGGCCCGCCCAGTCTCACGGTCCGCCCTGTCCTACGATCCTGTAAACTACCACTACTAAATTATAAAAAGATTTCACAACACTATATATTTTCCTACACTTAATGTAGTAAAAAGAAATTTGCAATAGACCAGTCAAATAAAAACTTCAGATGTAACGGAAGGACACTTTGCGAACTATCATTTTAGGCAATATTGTCTCGTTTCTTTGCTATGAGAAAATAATAGCAGACATATATCTCTTTTATCTTTCAATTTTAATTGAATCAATTAGATTGAAGGTTGGAACAAAGAAGTCTTACAGATTATACATAGTTTTCCCGTAACTACTTAAGTAACTACAACAAAATTGGTGTACTTTAATGTTATGTTGTATGGATGATTACAAGATTTTAGCTATTTATTTTTACTTTATTTGTAAACATGTTAACAAATGCATGTAAAGGTTATACAATATTCGCAAGTCTACTCCTAGTTTTACCACACACATAGCACCGTCTAAAATAGTATATCAATTCAGTCTTTATCAACATAATTATCTCAATCCTCTAGCACCGTCTAAAGCAGTATATTCAGTCTTTATTAACATAATTAACTCAATCCTCTAGCACCGTCATAAGCAGTATATTCAGTCTTTATTAACATAATTAACTCAATCCTCTAGCACCGTCTAAAGCAGTATATTCAGTCTTTATTAACATGTCACACTCATCTATAACACCATCTAAAGCAGTATACATTTGTTTACATAAATCTTGACCACCTTGCACCGTCTAAAGCAATGTATTTAGACTTTGTTAACTAGCCTAGGCAGTGTATTAAGTCTTTTTAACATATTTCGGAAAAATGAAATTCCTGAAAGGGTCTATCTTCTCTGATATCCTATCTATTTAAAACCATACTTCCTACTCCCGGACTATATCAAATATCAAAAATGAATGGTTACCTAAGACTTTTTCAGTAGCACAATTATTTTCAATATGAAACAAATTTCTTCATTTTATGTAGATTCATCATTGTAAATATTTACTTAATCTTTCTAGGCATGCAAGTTATTATTTTGAAGTGAATATTTTCCAAACACACATTGATTAAATAAAATATTTGTGAAAACAAATATCGAAAGCAAATATTATATGAGCCGCGTCACGACAAAACCAATATAATGGGTTTGCGACCAAATGGATCCAGACCAGCCTGCGCATGCGCTCAGTCTGATCAGGATCCATGCTGTTCGCTTACAGACCCTATAACAAGTAAATAAAATGATAGCGAACAGCATGGATCCTGACCAGACTGCGCAGTCTTGAAAAACATTCATCATCGCAGAAATTTTACCTGTCAAAACAAGCACGTGACCTCTTGAATAATTAACGAGATGGTGCTAATTATGTCTCCCCGACGTCACCCTGCGCCGACAACGATATGAATCTATGCGTATTTGTAGAAACAGTGACTCTTTTGCAGACTGATTACTTTTTAAGAAATAATGAGAATAGAAATAAATTTTATAGTTTAATATCAAATTAAATACAAAAATATATGAATTTAATTTTTCAACCCGTACACGACAGCATTCGTTTTTTTCTTCTTTTTATTTAATTCATGCCTTTTACAAGATGACGACGAAATTAAAACATTATGATTTGCTATAGATGTTTTTTAATTTCCTTCAAATGGGACAGAACATTAAATCTATACAGTCAGCATATCATACATCATACGGTCAGTTAATCACAAAATAAATATACACCTGCATTTGCCATCATTGAAATTTTGTATAATATATTCTTAAAGATTAATATAAAAATATCATATATCTCCGCTTTTGGTGCTTTTTAGTTCAATGGTTAATAATTTGAACTATTACCCTGAGATACATGTTTTGTTTTTCTATTATACAGAACCAACATTTTAAAGTAATTTTTCACCGCTACTAGAGCGGTAATCAGCCAATGAGTAACGTTTTTGAGTCTGTAAAATCACCAAAATTTCTAAGCTTTTTGAGAAAAAACAACATTTCTGGGTCATAATGCGCCTTTAAATGTTCTGGCTGTTGTGTAGCTGTTTAAGCAATGATTCAATCAATACACGCGCTTTATGAATATAAAGTAAATATACAAACACACTTTTTTCAGACATATCTATTTTGTTATTATTTCAGACTATATTTTGCTTAGCTATAGGCCGCAGAAATTTAGCTTTACACACTTAAAACGCTATTACAACATTCTACTCCGAAAATTTGTACACATGCACATTAACTTCATATCAACATGACATAAGGCAATGACTTTCATAAATAAAAATTAACGTAAAACAAACAAAAGACCGCTTACTCTTGTCTACTTATACACACTTATCTTATCTTGTCAATCATAATCTACAAGCATATAGAGGATATAAAAAAGGAAATAATCGCAAACAATAACTAATTTCTTGGCTGCCCAGCACAATACAGCACCTCGATAATACAAGTATAAAATATCAAATACAGGAAAAAACAACTGAAATGCATACCATTTATATTCTACAGGCAATATGAAACCCAGAAAACTCTCTGAAACAACATATCCACATCACTATCTAGCAGTATTGATAAATGACCATGCAGAAGATTTTGCTACATTTAATCAACTTTTTTAATAGAACGTTTTCATTTATACAGCAAATGTCTCATAAAAATGTCTCTGTTAGTAGCAGACGTGACATAAAAACGTAATTTTCTCACCACCCTTCTTGTCATTGACATTTTCTTCCAGCATTTCTTCTCCAAACACTGTTACCCTCCCAGCAACCATTTTCACTTCAATCTCTTTACTGACGTGTTGATTTTCCTTCAGATTGTCTTGTCGGAGTAAGTCAGTTTTCATGCGTTTCAAGAGTTGACTTATATAAGTTTCACCGTTGGCACTGGACTTAAGTTCACAGCTAAAATATTTGTTAAACAATCAAGATGGACATAAAACAAGGTAAAATTACATGTAAATAGAGATCTATCAAGCCTGATTTTGCCTCTAAATGTCGCAACCGCTGCAAACTGTCTCAAGATATTTGGCGCAACGATGACTTTAAATGTCGCACCATTTTCCTTTACCGTGAAATTTCACATCAATACCGTTAAATGTCGTAATGTCTAAATTCATGTCTATATATTTCTATTATGTAAATGATCTTTGGACTAGCTATCTATTAGATAGGAAAGGATTTTCTGTTATGTACAAAATAATTGGTTAAAGTTGAAGTCACCTTAGTCGGTATTATAAATTGACGACCACTATTTATGCCAAAGAGCCCTTCACTGATAAAATACTTTTGTATACGTTTCTTTTCATTCAGCAACCCAGATGTCGTGGATTCCAGCTACGACATCAGCTTGAGATGGATATAATACACTGAGTAGTTTATTTTAGAAAGATTCCAATAAAATTGAATCTCAGATCAGATTTTTTTTTATATTTTGTGTCGGCATTTCACATATGCGGTTTTATCAGTATTACTGGAATATCATTTTATATACATGTAGTATTATTTTGCCACAATCAGATTAAAGTTTTACAAATTTCATTGATGCAATCATCACTTTAGGTCACGCGTATGCAAAATATCAGCCTAGCGTGTCTTTTTTGAGGCTGCCTATGATGACATGATTAACATTCTGGAAATCTTACGTGGCTTACAAATCAAGCTCACTCTTTTATTAATGTTTTTATTCGTATCGTACCTTTATCCACAACTAAGGCTTTAAATTATTATTTTTGATATTTTTCTCATGCCAATAAAGATGTTAATTATTGACGAGCGAGCGACAATCAGACATCGCGACAAACCGTCGCACGACTACGCGCCGTTTGGCATCATCGATAGCGACAGCATACAAAACGACATTAAATGGTAGTGTTGCGACATTTAACGGCTATCGAAAAGCTTGCGACATCTAACTTTACCGTTGCAACATTTTAAGGCAGAAGATTTTGCTACATTTAGCGGAGATCGCAATATTAGCGGCAATGGTGCGACATTTAGCGACAATGGTGCGACATTAAGCGAAATATAAAGGCGCCACAATCAGCAAGCAAATTATTGCCGTCTGTTCATGGTCTGTTTTGTTAGATAATCAGTCAGTGCATTTATTTAAAATCCCCCTAGAACCTATGGGCTTGTTTAGATTGAAATCCATTTAAAATATTAAGCATGGTAAAAGTTTCTTCATTAACATTATTGTCAGTTTGCGATATATGGGTGCATTTTGAACACGCAGTAATATAATATTAATGAAATGCTTTGAATTGTATAGACAATCTTGTCTAAATCAAAGATCTTACCGACAAGTCTCTGTGCTGAAATAAGAAGATGACGGACATTTAGTCGTGTTCATATTTACACATACACAATTACATGCCTCCTCATCCCAGATTTGTTTCCCTTTGCAGGTTTTTCGAAGGCTTTCTCTCTCAGGCCGACAGACGCAGCTGCATATATTCGGCTCATACCTGTTGTAATGTATTGATTATAAATTATATTACAATGATCTAAATCAACTTATATAATATAATTAAATTAAAAACGCATTAAAGCGGGTGCGATATAAGTCACTTTATTTTGTCATACATTTTTGTTAACGTCTGTTCGACGCCCTAAAAACTTTAGATTTTTGACATGTTTTAATATGAAATTCAAATCTGTTTTCTTGTCGGTAATATTCATGTTCTAAGACTAAAAGGAATTGCCATCGCAACCTGTGACATATTAACATAGAGTTGTCAGTCGATTTTTTCCTACAGTCAAGCTTTCCGGCTGAATGATTTGACTTCCGATATGAGTCTGAAAAACAAAGCACCAGTATCATCACAATGTTAACAAAAAAAAACCCCAAAAAACCCACACAAACACACAAGAAAAATATAATAAACAAACATACTTCTGAAATGTATGACAATCTTCTTCTTTTGTTTTACATTTTGGCATACAGTCGTTGTGCTCGGTTATCGACACAAGACTAATGTCAATATCTCCAATGACATGTCTATGTCCCGGATTTCGTAGCTTGGTGTAAATTACCTGAAGTAATAAAAACGTTTAAAGCAACAACAATAATAACAACAGCAACAACAGCAATAACATCAGCAACAACAATGGAGGTGATGTGTCTGGGATATATAATGTTATTGGTATACATTTTTGTAAGTTTGTGGTAAATTACAATTGGGTCATAAGTTTAAGCAGCAAAGAAAATGAAATATTCGTGGTTAAAACTATTCTTGTTGTAATTATGTCTCTCAGACAATCTATTTGACACCAAAAGTCGACAATTTCAATGAAAATTAATGGTGGTGCCATCTGCACAATCACATGTGGTCGTGGTAAACAGTACGTCACGGGCTACGATTGCTGAGTCGTGATTCGTACTTTCGGTTTTTGCCCAGCCATACGAAACATTTTTCATAACAGAAAATCAAAAAATAAATAAATAATGAAGATTGTGTTTGAATCGTTGAAAATCAAGTAAGATTGCTATTCACTTTAAATAACTATTATTTCATTACTGTATGTCGTGGAATAGTTTTGAAAACAAATATATCCACTTAAAGCTACATTAAATAAATAAATTATGTAAAAATACTTTACTGTCGGCCTGAAAACCAAGCATTATACAGTTTCATGTTGTAAAGTTGCGTTGTAAATCTTATCAAACATTGTTCATAAATTACGATTTTAAATGGAAAACCCCACGGAAACACTGAAGTTCATATACGAATTTTAACATGCAAATGAAGACTATAATCAGTTCGTGTACGTGCTACGTCACAGTGTTAAAGTTGCTACACAGAACACAGCAAATATGAGATTTTCATGTGCAAACACACTTTAACCGTTTTAGCTTCAAGGTGCACTTGGCATGGAGTTCAGGAAAGAGTAATCATCTCATAAGAATATTGAATTTGTATGAAAACATCCGTTACAATGCAGAAATATACCGTTATATTAGGACTGCTACTTATAGCCATGTTTGTTGTATAGGATAGATCATGAGTACCAGTTGGATGTGAGATTTATCAACGAGCGAAGCGAGTTGATAAATCTCACATCCAACTGGTACGAGCGATCTATCTGACTTAGACCACAGGTAGTTTTCTCTGTTTATGGTGAAGATTAAACATGTATTAACGTTTTTTTCTCCTACAATCACATAGGGATATCCAAATAGTTCTTACTCAGTCTATTTGGCCTTATTGTAGGCAAAAAATGCACGAGAAAATAACATTATTCATGTTTTTTATAAGTTACTGAATACACACTCTTTGAATGATAGATTTCACATTCCATTTTAGATTTCTATCACAAAAGGTGCAGTCAGGAAGAATTTAACATTTCTGAATGTGATAACATTACGATTTCACACCTTGAGTGATTTTGTTGTTATTCATGTTGATTCCTCATTTAAATGATTTGATGACATATCACCGTACACAGTGCTTGAATAAGAAGTCAAGAAGCAAGACTGCTTACCGAAAAATGCTCTTAGACAGAAGTCATGGACGATGGCTTGTTAACAAGAGTGGGCTCGTTGGAGACACTGGCAGGTAACTTTCATTTAATATTTACCTTAATGCTTAAAGAACCCTACGGCTCAGGATATTTATTGGTTGTTTGGCTGAAGTTGAAAATATTTAACTTGACTTGTAGATTTTTTTATTTATTGTATGCTTTATATACATCCTGCATTGACTTTTTACCTCATTCATGAACTCAAAAAATATTACAAACGTCCCTCTGAAGCCTTTAAGCATAGCATTTCCCGCAGCCCAGTCACCATTCGGAAACTCTTTGCCCACCAGTGGAATCCCCTCTTCCAAAACCAGTAAATGAGTGTACATCTACAGTGTCTGCTGTTAAGAGTGAGCCGGGCATAATTCAGGATGCGATTATTGAAATCACAGTACTTGAAAATATTAGCACAAAAGCGGTAGTAAAATTTAGATACAAATATAGATTTAAATAGATTGATAAACGCATTTCAATTTCACTTCATTATTGATAGCTTTTTCTTATTTACAAATACAGTAACTATTCTTGTAAAATAATGAAATGTCGAAATAAATTGGTCAAAGGACTTTTGCTATCTGTTTGTTTTTTAAGAAGGGAACTACACTATTTATTTTACAATATAAATAGAATTTCCCCCCTCATAAAGCGTGCACATAACAGGGGTTTCCTTTCAGTTGAATACAAACATGATAGTTATATCAAACACTTTACTGTGATGTGTGGGATATATCACACACTTTTTAGCCTCTCTGATTGGCCGAGAGAAAACAGCTGTGGTCTAAGATTTAATATTGATGTACGGATGATTCGAAGGCGGAGTTTCTTATGCAAACAGAAAGTTTACTTCCGATTTTGCCACAATGAGGTCGCAGATATTTATGATTATAAAAGTCATTTTGGTTGTCTTGACACCATGATAAGATCTGGAGTCGATATGAAACCACATTTAATAATGAAATGTTGCTATTTCTGTTTTTATGAAATTTATTTAATGTAGCTTTAAGTGTATTGCAGTTCATTTTCATGATATTGAATTTCTTTTTTCAGGAATTTACATTAGCATTCATTCAGTACGCATTAAAAACCTGAGCATGAATTTGCTTTTCAGCATTATGCGGTTTAACTTTTATTTATCTGAATGGTAAAAGAAATAGAAAATAAATGATCATTATGTTAATCTTTTTTGATACCTTTACTTGCTTCTCCGAGGTGGTAACGGGTTGACAAGAATTAATAGCATTCGTGCAGCAACCGGAACATCTGAATGCAAGTGTACATGGTGGCCATACGGAATATCCCGGCCTTTTTGGCGTCATTACCGTTTGTAAACTTGATGAACATGTATCGAAGTTTGCTTCCGGTACATTTCCTGTGAAATCTGTCAAAAGAATTGCTTTCTTTAGGACAACATATCACGTTTCGAATGGCGTACAAATTTTGCTTGAATCAAATACAGAAAGTTTTAAACATGACCAGCCACTTAAATTTCAGAGAAGCAGTGGTCTAGTGGTTAAGGTCTTTATCTCTCAAACCAAGGATACATGAGTTCGAGCTCTACAGGGGCCACGCCAAGCCTCCTCATATGACACCAGTACTGGTTAGTATCAAGAAGTGGACACAAAATAGTTTATAATAAGCTACAACCATTTCTCACAATCGAATTTGAATTATTTTCACAAATAAATGATAATTACTTATGTTTGAAACAGCTTTATATAACTTATAACTAGTACGAAGTGTTATTCTTTCGTATCAACTTTATTCATTATGACTAATAACATGGTATTAAAAGTTTCTAACGTATCAATCGAAAACTTACAACCTAATTAAATGTATTAGAGTAACAATCTTATGACTAGCATACAAGTTCATACCTTATGACTTCTATGAACTTTCTCCCTTATGACTTCTATGAACTTTCTACCTTATGACTATCATAAAGTTTCTACCTTATGACTATCATGAAATTTCTACCTTATGACTTTCATGAAATTTCTACCTTATGACTATCATGAAGTTTCTACCTTATGACTATCATGAAGTTTCTACCTTATGACTATCATGAAGTTTCTACCTTATAACTATCATGGGGTTTCTACCTTATAACTGTCTTGAAGTACATGTATGTACCTTATAACTATCGTGAAATGTCCACCTTATGACTATCATGAAGTTTCTATCTAATGACTATCATGAAGTTTCTACCTTATGACTATCATAAAGTTTCTACCTTATTACTATCATGAAGTTTCTACCTTATGTCTATCATGAAATTTCTACATAATTACTATCATGAAGTTCCTACCTTATGACTATCATAAAGTTTCTACCTTATGACTATCATGAAGTTTCTACCTCATGACTATCATAAAGTTTCTACCTCATTACTTTCATAAATGTTCTATCTTATTACTATCATGAAGTTTCTACCTTATGTCTATCAGGAAATTTCTATTTAATTACTATCATGAAGTTCCTACCTTATGACTATCATGAAGTTTGTACCTTATGACTATCATGGAGTTTCTACCTTATGACTATCATGAAGTTTCTACCTTATGACTATCATGAAGTCTCTACCTTATAACTATCATGAAGTTTCTACCTTATAATTGTCATTAAATTTCCACCTTATGACTAATATGAGGTTTCTACCTAATGACTACCATGAAGTTTCTACCTTATGACTATCATAAAGTTTCTACCTTATGACTATCATGAAGTTTGTACCTTATGTCTATCATGAAGTTTCTACCTTATGCTGTTTCTACCTTATGTCTATCATGAAGTTTCTACCTGATGACTATCATGAAATTTCTATCTTATGACTGCTATAAATTTTCTTCATAATGCCGGTATGTAGTTTCTATCTTATGACCTGAATGATGTCTTCACCCCATGACTTGTATAAAAGATTTTAAACCTTATGACTTGTTTGAAAGTTATTACCTGTTTGGACTATATTGTATGAAGTTTCTACCTTATGACCTGTATAAAAATTTCTACTTTATGACTTGTATGAAAGTTTCTACGTTATGACTTGTGTGAAGTTTCTACCTTATGACTAGTATAGAGGTTCTACCAAAGTTTCTTTCTTATGACCTGTATAAAGTTTCTACCTTATGACTAGTATGAAGTCTCTACCTCATGAATAGTACATTGTATAGAGCTTCTTACTACGTTATGACTAGTATGAAGTGTCTACATTATGACTATTTTGAAGTTTCTACCTTATGAATAGTATGAAGTCTAAACCTTATGACTAGTACGAAAGTTTCTACCTTATGATTTATATTAGAATTTCTACATTATGGCCTATATGAAAGTTTCTACCTAATGACTAGTATGAGAGTTTTTCTACCATATGATCGATATGAGAATTTCTGAAATATGACCTATATGAAAATTTCTACCTAATGACCAATACAAATTTTCTACCTAATGATTAGTATGAAAGTTTCTACTTAATAACATGTATAGAAGTTTCTTCCTTATGACTATTATAAAGTTTCTACCTTATGACTAGTATAAAAGTTTCTACCATATGACCTATATGAGAATATCTACTTTATGACTTACATGAAAAGGTCTACCTAATGACCTATATAAAATTTCCACCTAATGACTAGTTTCTTCCTTATGACCTGTATAAAGTTTCTACCTTATGACGTGTATAAAGTTTCTACTTTATGACCTGTATAAAGTTTTTACCTTATGTCCTGTATAAAGTTTCTACTTTATGACTAGTTTGAGACAACTCTTTACTCCTTACCCAGCAGATCTTTTTATAAGATAAAGCTTACCGTTTTCAAACCTTTCTAGTACTTTCCAATTTTCATCTATCAATGATGTAGGTACAGAATTGATCACTGCAAAACGACATCAAAACCACAAAATGTTAGCATAGTGAAAATAATGTCTTTACCACGACATGCATATTTTACATATTGATAGCTATTCTATTTTTATACGCCTTAAGAAACTTTGGGAGGTATAATGGTATTTTGTTGTCCGTCCGTCCGTCTGTCTGCCCTTAGGCAAATGGTTTCCTAAGGATTTCTATTGAATAATTTCAAGGGTTGTGTTCGTATTTGGCATGTAACTATGTTATATTAAAACACTGGTTAAGTTTGGTTTTCGCAACAATCAACTGATGATTGATAGAGTTATGCCCCTTTTTATAAAAGTTTCGTTTCTGTTACATAATTGGTTTCCAAAGGGATATATGTATATGAAGATTACGGAGCTACTGATGAGTATGATGATAGTTATCATAGTTACCTACCTTTTTCACAATCCTCTATGTTAAGAAGTTTACACCACTGTGACATATTCTGCACATGAGCCATTTCATCTAGAAAGTTATTTTTTGACTGGAAAACCAAAAACAAAACTCGACTGTAAATTACATAAACTGTAATATAATTTCATATTTTTCCTTTTAATGACATAAAGTTAAAATGAAATGTAAAGAAAAAATACTCATCCGTGTATCTAACAATGTGGGAAGTCCCTGTATTATTTGAACAATTTATTATCGTTATATAGCGACGGGAGCTTCAGCCCCGTCTACACGTCTGTAAGAGAAAACAGGTAAGATAAAAACAAATTAAACATCTTGAGTTAAAAAATAAATTAAAACGCCTGAGATAAAAACAAATAAACATCTGAGATAAAAACAATAAAACATCTGAGTTAAAAACAAATAAAACATATGAGAAGAAAAAAAACTTATGAGATAAAAACAAATAAACATCTGAGATAAAAACAAATAAAACACCTGAGTTAAAAACAAATAAAACACATGAGAAAAAACAAACAAAAAACATAAATATCTGAGATAAAAACAAATAAATATCTGAGATAAAAAACAGAAACAAATCAACGCATGTCTGCACCGTATTTTTGCTCCATCATGTCATATATAATAGCGATCTTATTGGTGCATTTGCCATAACAAATTACAAGACAATTTGTGTTGAGTTGGGCAGTTATGAAGGAGCCGCATCAAAGCTGTTAAATATGGGATAAATCAGACACCATATGTTTCAGAATTAGGAAGATTTATTAAATTCCTTCAATGTTTATTAAAGTTTGTTCATGTGATCAACTACACTAACTTCTACACGAAAACTTCCGTCGCTATTCCAAAAAGAATAAAAATGCTCCAGATTTCGCTTTTTATTAACAAATATGTGAGGTGGTGGAACAATAAAAATATTATATAAAATCTTTTTTATGAAACTTGTAAAGCGCTTTGAACCAGTGAACATCTTAGTGCAAGAGGTAAATAAATAAATAAATACTTACCGCCGTATTAAACCACATCGCTTGTGTCAAATGTAGAACAGCTACACAAAAGCTACCTAACGCAATTTTCATGTTCAGTATTTCCTTTGCGAATATGACAAAAGCTTAATTTAATGATTGTAACGTCTTATATATTTTTGAAACGCGATTCTCAACTAAATTAGTTATTATTTTAAGACTTGGAAGCAATTCATTGCATATTTATACATATACAGACCAGGATCCCGCAAGAAATCAGCAGATCTTCCCTGGAAAAAGGAAGCGCAAGGATGTGTCTCAATAAGTATGAACATTCTGATTACCTAAATGATACGTATACAGATAGATCAATTCAATGATTAGATTCCTTTTAAGGAACGAAATCCGCATTTATGAATTACTCGTACACATGTTTACGCACTATAAATGCACGTACATGAAATATCTAAATAATTCAGCAATACAGATTGAATCAATCTGTATTGCTGAATTATGGAAATTAGAAGATCAAAGTTGTGTCTAATTCACTATTTGAAGACATTTGAAGACGAGAATGTACTGTTAGAAAGATTTGAAGAGTATTTTAAGAAGTTAGTGTCTAATGTAAGAATAACAATTTGTGTATCAACAGTCGTAATTCTGGTTTAGTTCACTATTGAAAAGAACCAGTCGAATAATGTCAGTTTGTTTTTCTATAATGAAGTGTTAGATTATATTACACATTATAATACTTCACGGTTGATACGTCGTATTTCATTGGATAATCGTGACGTTAATATAGTTTTATATACTCGACTGCTCTCAGTTTATATAAAAATCTACTTTTTTTCTCTAAAAATGAAGTTTGCCGCATTTATTATAAATTCGTTATAAAGATTCCTGACAGGTTATATGACCTTACATAAACGATTGTTTCCAATACAACTCTCGGAACAACCGTTTATATAGGACCATATAACCTGTAAAAAAACTTTATAACTTATAATATAAGTGATCCAGGTATTGTTTTAATCTCTTACAACGCTTAATATCTTAAATGGAAGTGTCCCTGTTCTTATTTGGACAAAACTGTTTATCACTTTTTAAAAAAGATCTCGAAATAAGTTCTAAATAGTGCGGACTATCATTGAACTTGGTCTGCACTGGTTGCTTGGATAGAATCAGTCGCCCCTAGCATGCTAAAGATAAATGAACACTTATGAAGTACCAACCATTTAGCACAAAATATATCAATATATATATAATACATAATACTTGTTTATTAATCAGATGATAGGAAACCACTTATAGCTGTATTTAAGTTTCAAGATTTTATCAATATATACGTATAATTCATATTAAATTGATGCATTATCAATAATATCCTGTTACAATTGAACCAATTCATAATATAAACAATACCAGGATATATTAATTAAACTTAATGTAATTAACACTTTGTTGATTCGTATTTGATTGTGGTTACCGACTAGCCTAAACATAATATTGATAAATAGTTTCATACGCAATTAATGTTAAAAACATACTTTGAAAGTTAAGCGTTCAAATATCTCAAATAAGGAAGTAAAATATACTTGATTAGTGATCATTTAGATAATTGGACACATTTTTTTGGGTGGTGAAATTTATATGGATATTGAAAATCAAAGCTTTCTTGGGGGATGGGGGAATAATCGAAATGTCATGCTACCTCTATATATTTCCTCAAAATATACATATGGTTTGCATGCAGTCATCGTAGAGATATCTTTCCGTCGTTCGTATGAAGAAAATACAATAATGGTTTATTTGGATGTTTACTTAGATTTCTTGAAAACATCATTTTCTAGTCGTTTTTTAATATTTTCTTTGTGGTGCCGTTATTTGTCACAACGTCGCCAAATTGTTGCAATTGCCGCTAAATGTCGCAACCGCTGCTAAATGCGTCAAATATTTTGCGGTTAAATGCCGAAATAGTGACGTTAAATGCCGCGCCGTTTTAAATGTCACAACACTACCGTTAAATATCGCAATATCTAAATTCATGTTGAACAACTGGTTTCATGTCAAAATCAACGTTTTGTAAGTCATATGGAAGCTGTCTAACAGATAGGAAAGGAATTGCTGTGATATACAAAAATAATTGTTTAAAATTGAAGTCATCTTAGTTGGTATTAAAACATGACGACCATAATTTATGTCAAACAGCCCCTTGGTGATGAAACACATATATATACATCTTTTTCTTTTTCATTTAGCAAACAAGATGTCGTGGATTTAAGCTACGACATCAGGCCAATTTATCGAGTCGTCGAGTCCGCCCCGAAAGTTTAGAACTCGATAAATTGGCCAATTATTTTGTTTCCGCCTTTTGAAGCGAAGACATGTTACCTATAGGGCGCGTATAAATTATTTCATATACGAAGATTTAACGATAATTTTGCAAAAGCCAATCTGGTGTCTTCTTCTATTAAAATATCGTTAGTTCGTCTAAATTGTATCGTATCTTCGTGTCGGCGCCCTCAAATTCGAAAAAGAGGCGATGACTCGATTAGTGAGCATATTATAGAGTCTTCGTTTTAAACATTATACATATATACATGAAAAAATCAGCCACACTACCTTTCCTGTTACAAGTAGGATAAGTCGAATATTATGGCGCCTGATTTCAATCATTTCGTGTCTTCGCCCCTCAAAGTCGAGGGCAAATACACGAAGAAACGATTATATACTTACCGAGTCTTCGCCTTCGAATTTTGAAGGCGCCAACACGGAGACAAACCCTTAAAATTTAGGCGAAAAAAAACGGGTTTTTAAAAAGGGGAAAACACGAAAATCTTCTTTTAGAACTATGGTCCCCCCAGGGGGAGAAATTTCGGAAACGGCCCCCCTATAGTTTTCGTGTCTTCGCCTTAAAAAGGAAAAACAAAAAACACATTTTTGGAAAAATGTTTTTCCCTTTTCGTCGGGGGCCCTTTAAACTTCCGGTAGGGATGCGCAAAACACGCAAAACGAAAATCTTTGGTCTTTCGCCCCCGAAAAAAGACACGGGGCCCAAAAAAATTTTCAAAACGAGTCTTTGTGTCGTTGTTTCTTCGCCACGAAAGTGGAAGACACAAACACACGATATTGAACAATGTTTCATATCATCGTGCCTTAACATTCCGGTAAACATGCACAAAACGATTACGCATATGCTGACTTTGAAGTAAACATAGTGCAAATATAGCCTATTTCACGAAATTGACTTTTTGCCTATTAAATTAATAGTTATTTTAACAATTACATGTATAACCAAGACTTTTTATAAATAAATTCATCGATAAAGTATTCTTCTATACGGAAGGCGAAGACACGTCGAAACGAAACATTGTTCAATAGAGTGTCTTCCACTTAATAGGCGAAGACAGGACGAATCGAAGATTCGACAAATTGGTCTTCGCCTTCCGCCTTTTGAGACAAAGACACGACGACACGACAAATATAGGGCGACCATACACAGTTTTCTACCCGCCGACACGATATTTCTACAGAAGACAATCTTGTGTTTTTGCCGGTTAAAATATTGTTATTTTGTCTTAAATGTATGATGGATCCGTGTCGGCGCCCTCAAAAAACGAAGGAAAAGATTGCATAAGTGAGCATATTATCGTGTCTTCGCCTTCGACATTTGAGAGACAAAGACACGAAATGGAAAAAATCAGCCACCATATAATATAAAAGATTAAATGCGTACTTTGACAAAAGTGCCGCCAAGTTAATATTTGCAACAAAGTATGAAATTATCTCCCATATTCAATGCATTTAAAACGTTTTTAAAACGTTCATGTTTGATTCTTTTATATACATAGAATCAAAGTAAAGAGCAGTGGGAACTTAAAATTTTCCTATAAATTTTAAACGATCTCTTTGAAAGTTCATAGCGAGCTTAAAAGGACGAAAACTGATAGCCCTCTTGGTTTGCGTTACTATTGTGTCATGTGTGTGAAAATTAGCCTCCTTATCAATAATAAGGAAATGGCGCTTTTTGTCTGCCCTTTAATCAAAGGGCGGACAGCTCTTTGTCCCTTTTTCGAAAGAGAGGGGGGAATCTTGTGATGCGAAGGAAAAGATTGCATAAGTGAGCATATTATCGTGTCTTCGCCTTCGACATTTGAGAGACAAAGACACGAAATGGCAGAAATCAGCCACCATAGAATATAAAAGATTAAATGCGTACTTTGACAAAAATGCCCCCAAGTTAATATTCGCAACAAAGTGTGAAATTATCTCCCATATTCAATGCATTTAAAACGTTTTTAAAACGTTCATTTTTCGCAAAAATAAAATGATTCTATTATATACATAGAATGAAAAGTAAAAAACAGTGGGAACTTTAAAATTTCCTATAAATTATACGATCTCTTTAAAATTTCATAGCGAGCTTAAAAGGACGAAAACTGATAGCCCTCTTGGTTTTCTTTACTATTGTTGTATATAAACCAATACAAGACAAGTGTGTAAAAAGTCGCCTCCTTATCAATAATAAGGAAATAGTGCATTTTTGTCTGCCCTTTAATCATAGGGCTACGGTGGCATAGAGGGAACATCAGAAATATTTTAACGTGCGCACGCGATGGGGACATCTTGTGATACGTGTATGTGGTCGCACGGTCACTTTCCTTACAACATGTCCTCGATGCATGAATGTGGCATGGTCGAAAATCTCTACTAAATGACAATGTTATAAAGCATGTTTGGGTATGGAATCGTCTTATGCAAAATTTATGTTCTTATAAAAAAACTCGGAATAAGAAATTTTAAAAGTCGAAATAGGATTTTACTTCAGCTAAGGAGTTTAAAAAACTTATTGAGAACTTTTCATTGGAAGTTCTGAAAGCCTAAATAGGACTTTGATACTCATAAATAGGAGAGATAAAAAAAACTTTTTAGAACTTTCTTACTTCCACTTACAGCTTATTAGGAATTTATACTCATAATTCGCAGAAATTAACCTAATTACAACTTTGTTACACTTAATAAGAAGTTTTTAAGCCTTATTAAAAATCATTAGGAGTTAAGAATTATTTGATCTTAAACACAGACCAGAACACCTAAATATAAAATTAAAAAAAAAAAAAAAAAAAAAAAAAAAAAACAACGTGATTTTAAACTATATACCTTTTAATGAGGTTTTTATACGGAGACGAAAAAAGAATTTATTTGTCCTTATAAGTTTATAAATTCTTATTACGACATGTAAAGTCCTTATTAGTTTTA